GAGGCCTTCTTCATTTTATAAGCTGCCCCCCTGCAAACCTCGACTCTGAGGGAACCGCAGTCGGCCACAGCCCCCTTCCCTCTTGATTTCCAGGCGGCCCGCGGGGCTGAGAGGAAGCAAGAAAGTTGTATTTCGCCTCCTCGCGTCAGCCCGCACCGGGAGGCCCTGTGGGAGGACAGTCGCCCTAGCCGAGCCCCAGCCGATCTTGCTGCGGGCGGGCCTAGCCTGCGACTCAGTTCGGCACTCGCGCCCTCTCCTGCGCGGCCCCCACCTCTTCCTCTCGAGACTGCTGCGGGTCCTCCCCGCCCTGCGCCTCCCGCGCCTCCTTTTTGGCCTTGCCCAGCGATTCACAGCGGGAGCCTCGCAGGTTTCTAATCCGAAAGTCGACCTGATCCCAACCTCAACCGATTCCCGGCTCCCCCTCCTCCGTTAGCTGCCTGTTAGACCGCTAAGCTGCTGTCGGACTTTCAAGAAACTTCAGACTCCACTCTCACCGCCCCGCTTTCTGCGGCTCCGCCCCACCCCAGACGTAGCGATCTGGGGAAGCGAATGAATGCACTCTCGGCACTTTAGCCTTAAATACCCATTCCCCCTTCCTCTCAGGCCCGAACACCGCTACCCACCCTGAACTTAGTTGCAGGCCAGGGCTAGCGCCGTCGAGCATGGAGCCCCACGCCCACCCCACGAGGGGACCCGCAGGCGTCTGGCTTTGCGGCATCGGCGAACCTTCCACCCTGGGCTTTTAGAGAAACCGCGCCTGAGGATGTGTCTGCTGCGTCTTCCATGGTCTTGGTCCAGATGTGATCTTGGTGGGCTCTAAAAGTCGTTTCCTATCTGGAACCGTCCATCTTTGACTCTTGTATCGCGTACTAGTAAATTTAAGGGAAAGGAGTAATGTCTACCTTCTCTGGGTCCAACAATGCCAAGATTTTAAAGCTAAACTACCAAGAAAGCTTTCATTCGCTGAGGCCCGCACGCTGAGGCTGGGGTGGGCAAAAATTGAGAGCGGGGGCGGGGTAGTGGTGGATGAGAGTGGAGTGATTGACCTCTGTGTGAGGGCGCTTAGGCTTTTCTATCTAGTGAAGCAGGGTTTGGGTACAATTTTTATTTACTGAGAAAACTCACTGAAGTCTTGGAAAAGATGGTCAAATAACACACACACACGCACATAACACACACACACACACACCAAGCAGCAATAATTTGGTTTTTATGCATGCCATTGCTTTAGATAATGTTAACACTGTATTTCTGACGTCTACAGCAAAAGCATCCAATTTTAGTATCAGTCACCTTGTGTTACATAGTGCCTTTTTTGAGGCCAAATTATTCGTGTGTGGAATCACCCTAATCATGGCTTTCTTGGGAGGTGGAAGAGATAAGTTCAATCTCTGCATCCATTGAATTACTGGAAATGGAAACACGTAAAGGTATATCCTTAGAACTTTGGCATAAGCTGTCATCTTAATATTCTATCGGCTTTAACACCAAAAAGAAACGTAAAAGTTTAAAATGTAAGTAGTACACCTTTTATAAAGCGTTTGAAAAATAAAGGAGATAAGGATATAAACACAATGCACGCATGGAAATGTTAATCTCCTTGATGGAAGTGTCTGGAATCTTCTGTTCTGCCACAAACTTGATGGTACACCGGGATGGCATACTCAGACCTAAATGTGAAATCCTAAGGTTATTTCAATAGGAGGGGCAATGCAACACTTAAGATGGTCATATACTTGATTTTATCATTTATAGATAATGTTTTGGGTGCATTAATTTGCTCATGGAGTATCTAATGCCTTTATTTTTTTATTCAAGTATGTAAATATCGAGTTATTACAATAATTTTAGACTTGTTGGCAAAATTATTGTATCCTCATAACTTGAATAGTTGCATGCAATCGCCAGTTGAATGAGTTTTAAAATATGCTTTAATACTTTGAGGTGGGGACTTCCTATCTAGATAAAAGTCAGCTAATTTTTCTTAAAAAACAAGAAGCTTTTTATTATATAAGTGATGTTTTAGATTTTCTCACCTCTTTCCACAGGTCACTCAGAGTCCCTTGTCTTTGTTCCCAAAGCATTTACAGCACTTAGGGCAATTACAGCTCTTAACTCAGTGGTAGGCATTTAATATATACTTGTTGAATGAATTAATAATTTCTTTACTTGTCTGTCTCCTAACAGATGACTTCATGTCCTGGAAGGCAGGCACATTCTGTTACTAGCAAAGTGTCTGGCACACACTGATATTAAGTATGAATTTGCCTAGATGAAGGGACATACAATACACACACACTTGCTTCGCCTCAACAGCAGTTTTTAAAATGTGGATGTAATATCTAATTTGCATATTTAAAGTTTTAATTTTTAAAATTCAGGTGGGAGCTGAAGGAAGAGAACAAACACATACCTATTTATTAAAAGTAGCAGTTTTTTTTAAAGACATATGCAGAATATATTCCCATGATAATGGGATTTTCCGAATTCCCAAAGAATCAAGAGAAATAAGACAGAATTTTAAAACTGGCTTTATATTGGTGTCTTTTCCCATCTCCTTTGCATAAATGAAGAAGGAATTAAATGCAAAGTGTTTTTGAAGACAAATATTTTGATTAGCTTTTAGCTAAGGGAGCCAAAAGCTTCCAAACAAATCTCTAATGGAAATAATTTTTTAAGTTGTTCAGAGAATAGGATACTGCTTTATTCTCAATTAAATATATAGTTTAATATGCCAAGCACATTGTATTTAAAACCAGCTGATATTTTAAGAATAGTAATCTTCATATTATACTTTTTTAAACCGAGGTATCCCTTTGCATAATTTTATTTTTCACTGCTTAACTGTTAAGGGTATGTATGTGGTCATGAAGCATTAATTTAACTTTATACAAAAGACTGGTAGTATGCTTTAAAGTTAGTAAGTTCAACAGTGTGTCAGAAAATATAGCTTGGTTTTCTTGCCAGTAAAAGTAATTTGTTAGGCATATTTTATATTTGAATTACTAACAATTTCAGTTATATGTATATTATGATCATTCTATGTTACATTTCTCCATTTAATTTTAAAGGCTTAAAAAAAGCTAGAATACAGAACAAAGATGTATCTTTAATATGTTCAAATTTCAGATATGAATTAAGCATTCTATATTGTGTTTCGTCAGGAACAATACAAATTATCCCATAGACATTTGTTGTGGCAGATACTCAGACCCTATATTTAAATATAATTTACATAGCATTTGAACTGAAGTTTTCAAACTTTATAGCATTCCATATATAGATGGTTCTGTATGTTTATGGATTTAGACTTTCTTTTTCACTATTGAGATCTTATCTCCCCACTTCTGAAGTAGAAAATACATAGTAAAGCATTTACTGAAAAAAAAAAAAAAAAAGGCTTAGGAGTTTGAGTATTTAAAGACTGAGACCAAATATGGAATCTTTTAGTTTTAAGGGGATTTTTCCCCCCATAACGCAACACGGAACTGAAAATAAAATTACAATTAATGTTTATTTGAAATCTTATTTATTTGATCTGTTTTTACCCATATCTCTAAATAGGGACACACAACAACTTTTATTTTAAAGGACTTGTTCTGTTAGGGAAGTGGAGAGATTACTGTGCAATTTATGCCTTAAGTAAAGTGATTGTGGGTATCACTGGCTTCTGAACTGCAGAAGGAAAAGACGTGGGGTGGCAAGGAACACCCTTTTCCCCTCGGGTTGTTGGTTCATTCTCCAACTCTTTGGAGCACCACATAATACAGGAGTTCATCAGTGAGCTCAGGTAAGGGTGAGATCTCAAAGATTATCATACAGACAGAACTCACCTCCACGCACTACTTTACATGCTCTCTTCTGTTGAAGAAGAGATGTCAAGAGGTTTCCTCCTTCTGGCACTACTCAGCAGCACTTGTGGCTATATACAAACCTGACACCTGGAGAAACTGTAGTTTCTGGTAAAAAGACATTTAAAGTTGACATCTGTCACTGAAGTACTTGTTATATAGTTTTCAAAGACAAGCTAGAAACCCCTGAAGACTAAGTACTTACTTCTGTTCAAAGAAACTGGGCAAAGAGTTAAAGTTACATAACCTAGGGATGTCTTTAAAATAATTTGAATCAAGACTTTCTAGGAAAAGATTATCACTCCTATTCTTTTGGAAATTTCTACAAGTACATGAAGCATAAATTTAAAAGACAGAAAAAATTTGAAGATCACAAAAAGTGAGGAAACAGCACAGTTGGTAGTCATAGGACATTTGTCTGCTTTTCTCTCTGAATCCCTTCAGGAGTGCTTATTTAATGCTTCAACTGCAGTATAATTAAGTGTAGCAACATGGTTGTCTTCACCGTCCAGCAATCTTCACACCAGAAATCCCAGATATATAAAAGCTGGATTAAAAAGGGAAACACTTTTAAGATTTCATCAACAATGATGTACCAATCAAATCACACAATAATGTGTCAGATTCCTCTTGACCGTCGAAGCAAAGGCAATTCCCTTGCTTTAATTTACTTGTCTTGCGGCACTTCAACGTGGGGTAACCGCTTGGACCAGTTCGCACAGCAATCGGGCTATTACGCTGATCGGGTTCGGTTTGTAAACCGTCCCTTGTTGATGTAGTGCTTGTATAAAGCCCTTTCAGGACGAGGAAAAGGACACTCGACGGTGCAGGACTCCCCCAGCGGTTTTGCGCATCGGGGGCGCCCCTACTGGCTGACTCCCTCTGACTTGCTGTCTTCGCGCGGCCACCGGGCGCTGGGCACCCAGGCACCAAGGCCGTGACGTCACGGCGGAGACGGACCGTTGCCGCGAGACAGGACGCGTTCCGGTTCCGGTCGGTTGCCCAGGAGACGCGCGTACACAGAGAAACGGATCCCATCTGCCGGTGAGTCGTCCCGGCGGCCGCTCTCTCTGAAGACTCGCAGGCTGGACGCCGACAAGCAGCTGTCGCCTCCGAGTTTCCTGAGGGTAGCGCGTAGCTGCGGGCGCCATGAGCCAGAGGCAGGTGCTGCAAGGTAGGGCCTGGAGCTGGCGGGGGCGCCTCGACGGGCTGGCGGCTGGGACAGCGGGAGCAGCGGGGCGACAGGGGCAAAGCGGGCGGCCAGCTCCACCGTGTCTTTGCCCCCGCAGTGTTCGAGCAATACCAAAAAGCCAGGACCCAGTTCGTGCAGATGGTGGCGGAGTTGGCGACCAGACCCCAAAACATAGAGACGCTGCAAAACGCGGGTGAGCACTCACCCTGAATCCTGGGGGTTGCGCACCTTCGGATCCGCGTTGCCCGGTGTCGCTCACCTCGCCTCTCTCGGAACTGCCGACCCCGCGGCCCTTGGTCGCTCTTCACTCCTCACCCCCGGTCCCTGGTTGCGCCGGTTCTCGGTTCCCACTCCTGGTCCCTCGCCGGGTCCAGTGCCCCAACGCTTGCTCGCGCCCCTACAGTCTGTTGGGCACAGATAAGAGGAGTGGGCGGGACGATGTGCCTAAGTTTCTGAAACCCCTTCGGAGGCTGTAAGAACATTCAGTCTCTTTAGCGGGTCTTTTGAGCGTGAGGCAGAGAGGGTAAATGCCAGATTGGTATGAAAGGGGCCCCAAGTTCCTATTTCTATCTTTATTGCAGCCAGGCAAGTGTCAGGTTGAAAGTCAATGCCATACGAATTGCCTGGAAGTATTTTACGTGAATGGGAATATGCCCTAATCGAACTCATTTTGTCCGGGTGCAGTTGCATGTCACCCTGCCTTTGATCACCTTCGACTTCCTCACAGCAAATGAATTCCAATGTGGTTGACACATTATTTCTTTCTTGAGTTGGTGAAAGAGGAATGATATAGATGAATCTTTTGCAAGCAACTCAAAGTAGGAAAGAACTGGCTTTGAGAAATCCCATGGTCTCCTCATTCCATCTCTGGGACCCGAGCTCGCCCACATGCTATAGTTGGTGTGTTGTTTGCATTTTCTCTAACATAAACAGATTAAGAAAATCTCTTCTTATTCTATTTATTCTTGGTTTACCATCTATATATGATGAGAGTGACTGTACCACCATCTGAACTCAAAGGTAACATTTTTTTTTTGGCTACTGTGTCATGAGAAGGGTGGTATAGTGGTTAAAACACTTGGCTTCTAACCAAAAGATTGGGGGTTAGAATCCATAAGCTCCTCTGGGGGAGAAAGATATGACAGTCTGTTTTATTTCATAAAGATGTAGCAGTGTGCTTCCGTAAAGATTTACAGCCTTGGAAATCCTATGGGGCAGTTCTGTTCTGTCAGAATATATGGCATTGGGTTTGATTTTGTTTTGGTGTCATGTGAAATCTTCAGCTTATATGATGTTATGGTAAAATGCACTGAAATTAGCATAGAATTAAAAATTAAGTATATTGACAGGCAAGCATGTATAGCATAATGTTTCTCTGGTTTTCTTTGAGGGAAGTTGCTACTACACCTATGTGGTGATTTGTTTTGTCAATGGAAATATGCTGTTAATTTCCTGTATGTTTTAACTGAGGGAGAAGGGCTGTATTTAGATTGGGGAAAGTGTGTTTGATTTTTTTTTCCAAACTCTTATTTTGTGACCTTTGTGAATGGACACTTATTACTTATATATCCTTAATTTCTAGACAGTATGTACACTTGAACTAAAGCATTTTTTTTTTAAAAAGCTGATATACAAGGGAGAATGATTGCTAGTCTTTCAAAAATTTAATAATAAATGATTAAGATATAGATAGCATTAAAGATAGGGTTGTTGTTGTTATTTGCCATCGAATCAGACCCCACTCATAGCAACCCCTCCTTGGGTTTCCGAGGCAGTATCACTACGGAGGTAGATTGCCCCATCTTCCTTCCGAGGAGTGGCTGGTGGATTTGAGCCACCGGCCTTCTGGTTAGCAGTTAGGTGCCTTAGGCACTATGCTACCAATCACTTTTTAGTGTTGTAGTGTCAGTTTACCTCTTCCATGAGTGTACAATATACAATCAAACCAAATTGTTGGGCTGAGTGACTTACAGTGTAAGTGATTTAGATAATTCAATTTTAAATAGCCAGCTGTTTCCACTTATGGCCTGGCCTATGGAAGAATGGTCTAGAAAGGGAATATAACTTAGTGTTTTGAAATTATCTACTTGATGACATGTAAAGATTTTTCTTTCCTTGGGAACTTAATGTATTTTATGTTATCTAGGTTAAATTTAAGTGTTCCTCTAGTGATTTTAAATATGGACAGATAATGAATCTAATATATTTATACCTTTAATTTACAAATTAGCCTGTAAGCTTTGTTATGAACACTTTTACTTCTTAATACTCACTAGTTTAACCATTCAAATGGTTTGTTCTTTAAAAAAAATCTCTATGGATTTAAACTTTTTTCAAATGAGCCACAATATGTGTGTATCTTATATATTAAGATCAAGATTTTTTTTTTTCTTTTTCCAGGCAGGTGCTTTTATTTTGGTAGTTAAAATATCAATATATTTGATTCCTTACTTAAATGTACTATGTATGTATCTGGGAAGATTTTTGTTGTTGTTTTCTTACTTTTTCCCCTACTAATAAACTACTTGTTCACTATATGTATCATAGATCTAAGCTAATGTGAAAAACATTTTCCATAGTGATCAAAGCAGTAGTTTACTTCTTGAGAATTTTTTCAGTGTGAAAGGAACATTAAAGGTGAAGATTATCAATGGAATTTTATTTTATTTTTTTATCTCTGATCCTCTTAATTGATTTTTGATATGCTAACAAGATAATTTGCCTTATTAAACATGTCTGAAAGAATTACTAAAGCAACTTAAAATTTTGGAAAAGCTCTTATTCAAAGTTTTTGGACAAGAATGATTTCTAATCAAAATTGTTACTAAAAACAATTGTGTATAATGTGTCTATATTGTGAAGTTTTTTTTAAAAAAATTATTAAGTTCTGGTTTTATCCTCCCAGAGTAAAAAAAACATAAAACATTTAAAGGTTTAATGTTTATTATGAAATAATCTTTATGTACTCTCAAATCCTGTATGTTCGGACCCTCCATCCATCTTATAGCTATTTAAGAATGAGTTTTGATACTTTCTCTCTTTGAGTAATTAGTAATGTATAACTGTAATAAGACAGATAATATACATTGTTACTTCTACCAGTTGTAGAATTTCAGCAGTTGGAGGTGGTTGGTTAGTTATAAAATGTAAGAAAGATGTTTTGTGGCATATTGGAATACTAGGCCAACTCTCAAGTCTGTTTAGGAGGCCTTCTAAAATAAGCTAATAAAAGTTCAAAGAAAATTATTTTTATACTGCTTAGCTATATAAAATAAACTCCTGGATCATCCATTTATATAAAAAATTTGAGGTAAAGTTTAAAATGATACTCTGTAGTATTTTACATATACTCTATAGTAAAGGTGTAAAACATGACATTATATTTCTGTACATTTTCAGAAGACTAGGAAGAGAAGTTTACATAACACTTTAAGTATACATCTGTTTGAAGCTAACTTGCAAATTGAGGCAATTCAATGGGTTCAGGATTCAAGAAAGTAAATAATATGTATTGTTGATACAAAATGATTTTAAATTACGTGTTTCCAGGATGAAAATCTTCAGATTAACTATCTGTTGTTGTTAAGTGCCGTTGAGTCAGTTCTAGCTCATAGTGACCCTGTGTACAACAGAATGAAACACTCTTGGTTTGGCACCATTCTTGCAGTCATTGCCATGTTTGAGCCCACCATTGCAGCCACTGTGTCCATTCATCTTGTTGAGTGTCTTTCCCTCTTTTTCCTGACTCTGTTTTACCAAGCATGATGTAGTTCTCCAAGGACTGGTCCCTCCTGATAACATGTCCAGAGTATGTGAGATAAAGTCTTGCCATCCTCATTTCTAAGGAGCATTCTGACTATACTTCTTCTGAGATTTGTTCATTCTTCTGGCAATTCATAGTAGTGTGTTCAGTATTCTTTGCCAGCACCATAATTCAGATACATCAGTCCTTCTTTTGTTTTCCTTACTCATTACCCGGCTTTCACATGTGTATGAGGTGATTGAACATATCCTGGCTTCGGTCAAGCTAACTTTGGTCCTCAAGGTGACATGTTTGCTTTTTAATACTTTATATAGAGAGGTCTTTTACAGCAGGTTTACCCAATACAGTATGCCATTTGATTTCTTGACTGCTACTTTCATGGGTGTTGATTAACTATCTAACATTTCAATATTCTATGAGAAAGAAAAGCTCCTAGTTAAGCATTTATAATATATTTCAAATACATCCTGGCATGTACCATAATTCTCTTACAATACTACTGTTCCAAAGGATATTGAAACTAAAAAAGAAAATTAGCAGAGCAACTGTAAAGCCTTTAATAAATCATTATATTTAAATTTGATGTATTTGGCAATATAAAAGGGATCTTACAGTTATGAATATAAAAGATGTATTTTTTAAATAAAATAGAATTAAAACATTCACTTAAAAAAAAAGGGATAGAGAGGTTTGCCGTATATGTTTAAGTGGAAAATATGCTGGGAGCTATTACATTTCTGAACTATATGCACTGAACATTATATCCTAAAAATAACATTGTTGAGAATTTTATTCTGTGCTCATACATGGACAGTTATCTGTTTTGTTATCTAAGAATTGGAACATAAATAGAAAATAATAGAGGGCTAGGGTCTCATTTTTTTTTAAGGAAAAACTGGACAATTAAAAAAGTCCAAGCTATAGATGAGCCTGTAAGAGTGTAGGGCGTACAAGTAGCCAATATTGTGGATTAAATTTTAATGTTCAGATTTAATGTTTCTGAAAAATTATTTTAGTATTTCATTATTCAACTTTACATTTGGATACTGCTATAGGGCTTTTGCACCTGTGCCTCAATCCTTTTTATACATATCTCTTTGCCTAACTAATTCCTATTCATTCTTTATAGCTCTGTTTAGATGTTCATTCCTCAGGGAAACCTTCCCTAAACCTTCATAGTAAGTTTAGTCTTTTGATTTATGCTTTCCTCACTCCTACTATTCCTCTTTCATAGTACTTATCACAATTGTAATTAATTATTTAGTTATTGTTTCTTTACTAACTATAATTCCCATGTCTAGCATAATGCTCTGAATATTGCAGATGTTCAAAATGTTTAAATAGACTGAATGTAGGAATATTTTTCTAAGTATTTTCAGTTAAAAAATTAGATTCTTTTAACAGCTCAGGTAAATAGGTAAGGTATCTTC